CATCTGGTGCTAAAGGAGATGATAATGTAGCAGTGTGTTTTAACTGTATATAATGTATATTACATAATATTTGAATAAATATTATTGATATAAATGAAATTAAATAAGATTTTATGATTTAATACAAATCCCAGATCCACCTCTTTATTTACTTGGTGAGCGATAGAGTTCAAAGGTTATGACATTAGGGTTCTGTAATTTTATTGGTTGTAAGATTTGGTGGTTCTGAGTTGTTCTCAGGTAGACTACTCAGAGATTTTGGTCAGGTTGGCTGTGTGTAAATTTAGAGAGATTTTCAAGACAAAGACTTTGAGACCTTTAAGACCAGACCTGACAGTAAGTATAAAGTTTAACATTCTATATCTTTATAATATGTCTATTTAGCTAATATCACTGTTTGAAAGAAGAGTGAAAGTTTAAATATGAATAAAACTAAATTTAAAGCATTTTACCTCAGAGTATAAATTTATTTGAATTAAGAGTATTATGGTATGTATAGTATAGTGTACAGTATTTGTTATTAGATGTGTAGACCTGTATGATGCATCCAGGCTATTTACTATGTTTTATGGAATGGGCCTTGTCCCATAGAGAGGTAATTTGAATATATGTTACGTTTTGTATATTTTAAGTTATAATTACATATTGTTACATTTATTGAATGTGGCAGTACATAATTTGTGTAAAGAATATTTGTACAGTGATTTATTTATATGCTAAATATTCAAAGTAAGGAAGAGATAACTCTTAACTGTTAAATCTATTTATTGTACATCAATAAAAATAAGTAATATATATTGTATACATTTGTTATCTCATGTGATATTCATTGTTATTATTTTATTTTATAGGGCCGTTTTGTTTATAATATTGACTTCCATAAACATCAGTAATAAACACAGTAATGAACCCTTAGCCAGGAGTTGAGTTATTTACATATAGTATAAACCACCCCTGCAACAATAAAAATATGACAATCTTACAGAAAATATGCAGTTCACTATTGAATTTACTCTGCTCTTTCTTGTCTGCTTTCTCAGCCGCATGATGACGTAATATGTGACGTACGGCATTCCATAAAAAAAAAAACTACTTTTGGTTTCGTAAAATAAGTGTATACCCCGTAGTCATCAAAGTTCCGACTTCGACGCGGAAATAGATTTTCAAAATAAAGGTTTAAAGGACAAAAATTACCGTTATTTAGATATTTCCCGATTCTGTGAAGAATACGAAATTGATTGGCCGAATTAGCCAGGTTCTACTTGCACTTCCTGTTACAGAAAAAAAAAGAGTGTACCCTCCTGTGGCTTGTTCCAAAGTTTCCTTTTGGATTTATGTGCTCTAATCCTTTGAAACGACGGTGAATATGTATGTACTATTAATTGTTTGTCATATTTTGTGTTTAAAATGTAGATTCTTATTGATATTCATTTTGCAACGAAAATTTTCAGAGTAAATTCGGATCTCGTTTTCATTTCAGGTTCAACATAACACGGCCAGTGAATCGAATGGTTCCGTTTCATCGAAGACATAATGAAGTTATGCATTTTTTATGCTAAGCGACAACTATTTGAAGGCTTTGCTAAATTTTGAGTGAGTAATTAACATTAAAAGTGATTTTTTTTTACTGTGTATATTGTTCTGACACATGTGCAGAGACTTGTAAACACGACTTTTACAGTGTATCACACAAAATATTTTAGGACGCAGGTTCCACAAAAGATCCAATTTTCTTGGGGATTAATCTCACAAATGTGAGGGTTTGAAAAAAAATTCTTGTAATAAACTGTTGCATTTGATATATTCTTATTATTTTATGCAGATTTAAAAAAAATCCTCTTTTCAGCATTGTAATGTCTGTAAAACTCATAAATCCAATTGGAATATCATAACTAAAATGGAGTATTATATCTCATTTGAACAATTGGTTCCAATAACAACCTTATACAGTGTTTTCCCTTTATTTCAAAGTAAAGGGTTAGAGATCAATTGTATCGGGCTTTGGGTTGAGGTTTATGACAAATCTCTGTGGACCTTACAACAATTAGATTTTATTTTGTTTTTTATTTCAGAGTGGCATTTTTATCAATTGAAGCGATCAATTTGGCCGGTAGCTGGTTCTTAGGGAAAACACTACTTATATAGAGAGTTGGACAATAACATATTCTGATGTCTGACATATGCCTCTATTGTGCAGTTATTAATGTACAAAACATAGGGTCTTCTGTTTTGCTCAAAACATATAGTACCAGTGCAATTTAACATAGACAAGTTGACAAAACATGGACCTTTCAGGTGATATCATGGAATTTATTGTATGTAATGACGTCCTATTCAGTAATTCTAGGAGTTAGCCCCTTTGACTGAAACAATTTGAATATCAGTATGGGTAGTAATATAATAAATATTTTTATGATTTAATTTCTTTGTAGGAAATGCTTGTCAGGACAAAAGACCGAAAAAAAGACTGAAAAACTGCCTTTAAACACAGCAATCATTAATGTTAATGGATTCATAAGGAGCATCCAAACAATATGATATTGGGATCATCAGAGACAGGCAATTTTTTACCACTCACTGTGACAGATGCATCTAAATAAACATTGAAATGTTAAATTTTTTGTTCATTGCTTTTTCTCATATGGTATAAATATTGCATAATATTCGTGTGAATATCGCACGATTTTCATATGAATAACACACAAAGTGGAATTTGTATGAATATCATGCGAAATTTCAGTCGCATGAAAATCGCATGAATTTCGCATGAAATTTGTGTGGTAACATTCACATGAAATTCGCATGTGGGACTTTTCACATGATTTTTGAATGATTTTCGCATAAATTTCATGCGAAAAGGCAAACGCATGAAAATCATGCGAGCCACTTTTCCCTGTGTACAGGGCTGCACAAGGTACTGAAAAAGGGACAGTGCTTTGACATGTTTGAGTGAATGTGTTATCCATGTATCTGCAAATGAAGCAGATCCCCCAGTGAAGAGTGTGACAACTTCCAACTTCCAAGTTGTTAATGACGGAACTCCATTTAAATCAGGTACAGGTCAAAGTTTTGGCTGCACATTTCTTTTACAATATTCAAAACATAATAATTCAGGATCAAGTTCACACAAGCTCACATTCCATGGTTACTTACAGCACCATTATGCTAGATAAATTTGTTATGATACACTTTCATGTTAAATAGTCAAATTTGATTGGTTTAAAAAACATTTGTTAACAAGTACTATTACCATACTGTATGCCAAACATTACATCCCAAATGGTTGAAAATGCATGACTACGGGTAACAGTATATACAGTTATAAAAAATGTTAACTGTGCAGAATGTTTGCACATTTGTTTCACCTTGATGTTTTCTTTAAAATGCATTTTATGACAAGAAAAATATTACCTGTTTATTTTGGGTGATGTAAAATTCTTACCCCTTAAAAACCATTGCTGACCGAGGCGAGGTCAGCGATGGTTTTTGTGGTATAACAATTTCACGTTATCCTACTAAACATGTAATATTTTTATGTTATATGTACTTCTATTTGTAAATGTTAATGACTGTGAAAAACATAAATATTTATAAATTAGTAAAATCAATTTAATACACTATAAATACACAAAAGGACAAATTTGTACATAATTCTCTATGATTAGGTTAATTAGTTTATATAAAGGATGTACTAGTAAATGGGCATGATATATCATTGTTAATATTCAAGAAAGTGTTAACTGTTTTTCTTGTAGATGCAGCTCCTTTCCATCTGATGTTTTCCAGGTTTTTGTGAAAAGTTTTCTTAAAAAATGGCACCATTCACCCACAAATACTATGCCAGTGGAACTGTGATATCAATCAACTGCTTATGACACTGTTAATTGGCAGAGAAATTATTTTTTTTTATTTGGGACAAGCAATCTGTTTCAAACATTTTATGCCTGCAAATTGGTACATGTACTTCATAAAATGCTTGAAGGATGCTAAAGGCTACTGAAATTCCAAGCCAGATGAAATTCAAAAGGATTGATACAAAAGTCATTTGAAGTTTTCTATTCTTAGTGATGAGTGTTTTTCAGGATGCCCTCTGATATCATAGCTACAACTGGTCACTGTCCTTTGTTAGTTACACATGCAGACATCTTATTAAGGCAGTGATATAAGTAGCTCGAAGTGGATGCTTTATTGTTTTCCTCAGATTTATAACCTGGATTGATCTCTGATACAGTAATTTAAAGCCATGTCTTTTCACTGTCACAAAGTACTGAAATAAAAATAATTTTGATTAAAATATTTTTTTTTAATTCATTTCATTAAATTTTTAAGCTACAGAAATTCAAATTAATTACCTATTAGTAAATAGAAATCTTTAATTGATTAGCAAGCCTTTGCATTGTCAGATCCTTTTCTGAAAGGACCATTTACCTTTAACAACGTCAGGACAGGTGAGGCAACTGGCTGGTCTTCATGCTGGAAGTTTGTGTTAACTCTGTAATCTTTTTAAACAAAACCATCCAGTGATGTCCTAAGATTGCCAGATGAGCAGACATATACCTGTATTTAAGAAAGATTCTGTAACATGACATAGAATTTTTGCACAGCTTGACACACAACTGATGGTAACTTAGGTGCCTGCAAAATAATAAATCTGGCACATATTTATTTATTTGATACAAATCAGAACAAAATTTGTCCTTTTACAGAACAAATTATTTTCATTATAAAGAAAAGAGAAATGCATATGTACTGTGTTAATACATATAACCTGTATTATTGGATATTTTCACCCCATTCTAATTTTTAAAATATTCTCTCTTTCACCCTTGAAAACAATTTTGCCCTTTTCAAATTTGATCAGACACATTTGTGTTTAAAAGATATATGCTGCCTTCTTCGAATTTGTCCTGTTTTAAATTCACCTACTTGTAAGGAGGGCAGAATGAGAAAAATAAAACTGGGGCGAAAAATTTCCAGAACAAAGTACCATTACTTGCCTGCCTGTTGTACTATAACTCCTCCAGCCTTACAATATTCTATAATCATTGCTTTCATGCGATACCCCCCAGTGGATTGATGGTCTCTTTTCCAAATTATATGCACTTTCTAAAAAGAATGAATTTGTCAATTTATAAAATTTAGTATTACAAGTTAATAAAGACAGTAAAACAATGTTATCAACATTTATATGCAAATGAACCTCTGTATAAATCACTAATAAATGATTGACAACTTGTATGGAATATATCGAATACCCTTAATTTTGCATTTGGAAACTCAGCATTAAGGCCAAACAAAAAAATATGTGTGGTTCCGGTTACACCTCCAAAAAAATAGGGTAGGAAGGGATTTTTTTTTTTTTTTTTTTTTTTTTGGTACAAAATGATTTTCTAAATTTTTCTAAATAATACCTATTTCTTTTCGTTAGCATAAGTGAACTATTTTATGTGTAGAGTGTTAGATATGTTTTCTCTTAAGCATATGGATTAGATATGTGCTTTAATGTGTGAATAAAATGTCTTGGGTATTTAAACAGTTGTCTGCCAATTCTATTCATTCGAGTTCATACTCATCTAGAAAATACAATGTTTGAAGAAAATCAGCATGAGCAAATTGAATTATTTAACTGTTATTTGGATATTATATTTTCTTTTTTTAGAATGTTATGTGTTTACGAAGATGATATGTGCTATCCTTGTTTTTAAAGGATGATATTAATTTCAGAATTGTATATTATAAGTAAAATTAATGGATATCTTAAGCATTATACATTAAATCTTAAATATAGATCATGATTTCTCTATCGGAAGTCTTTATACAGGTATATAAAATCTAAAATTGTACATTATAGAATGCGAAAAAACAGAAATATTTTGTGAAGAGCTGAGTATATAACTCATAACTAATAAATGTTTTGTTTATTTTGAATTCAGTCTTTTCCAACTATGGTTCAGAAAAGAAATGTTTTATTTGTGGATGAACAGAGTGAAGGAGAAAATAAGTGGCATTTCGATGTGGCGTTAAATATATTAGTCAACATTGGCAGGGGGCACCCTAGTTATGAATATGAAACAAATATTTTTAAATCAAAAATAATGAAAACACAATCTTTTCTTTTTGTAAAAAATAAAGTCCAAAGTGAACATCCTTTTTTTAAAATCAGTGTTTATAAATGAAATTAATTAATTACTTTTATCCAGAACAGTTCTTATTTTACTTAATAATAAATTCTGAACTATAAACTAGAAAACGGACATGAGAGTTCTGCTAAGAGCTGTCGGAGGAAAAGAATGTGACACCTACACTTTGTACAGTAATGTTTAAAACAAAATAAATCACCTAAGCAAGATGACATAGAATCATTCAAATTTGTCAGAATTACAAATATTTAATATTATTAAAATTTTAAATCCTTTCATGAAACCTTTTTGCCTCATTGAAGACTTCATACTTCCAAGCTCATTTCTCATATATATTGGTGTTTTGCAAGTTGACTTTATTCATGTAAAATCAGCAGTCTTCTTTTTCACTTTTCCTCATGAACTGTTTTTTTTTTCTACTTTCGGTTTAAAAGAAATGATCCTGATATAAATTATTTAATAGTTTACAAGTTAATCAATCTTACACATTGGGCTAATTCTTGCGTAATCAATGCAATCAAATAAATGTTTTCTCATGTTATCTTCCCCCTAACTCCAAAAAACGTTACCTGGCCAGCTGTCTGTGTGCTTTCAAGCGAGAAGTGATTTCCTATCCTGACTTCACACCTTTGCGTGCATTAAATAATAAAGGGGCTAATCAGCATGCACTTGTTATAAACCAGCTGTAAACAGAGCAACTAACTGAATCTCGCCACTCTTGGGCATATTTATTTAATTTTGGCAACCAAAAAACAAACAAACAAAAAAACATGGCGCTGGAAAAAGGTATACTGCCACGCCATGCTAGCTTGCTTTAGATTTAACACCATCAAACACTTGCACTACGTGTTGAAACGATTTTTGCATGGAGGCCGCCATTGCTGGAACTAAAACTAATACCGAAGTGGATGACGGAAATCGCGGAAAATTCTGGAAAATAAATTTGAATATTGCCGAAAAAAAGTTTAGGGTCGGGGATCTAAAATAGGGACGGTCAGGTAATGGGAACCACACATATTTTTTTATTTGGCCTAATAATATTCCATACATGATTGAGCTGTCACCTGATGAACCTTTAATTCTTTTCTATTTTTATTTTTTATATGTATATGAATTATAAGAGTAAATGTAAGTCCAAAAACTTATTTTGTGACATCAATTTCATACCTGTATTTGAGTTGCCTTTTTGAGGATATACCGGGTAGATTATTCAAAGTCGATGTACATGTAGTCTTAGATGCTGCAGTTCTCTTGTACTTTAGCTATAAATAAATCTTAATGTATACAATTGTGTAAGATGAAAGAATATTTCAAACACTGCATGAAACAGACCAAAACTTTAACCAAAATATCCTCTATAACATGCTCTCTAAACTGAAGAATATGGTCATATAATTGCAGTCATATGAATTTTGTTCAATGATAAATGCAGAGAGAATTTGCAGAATATATAAAGAAAGTTTTATCGATGGGATTGGGAAATAAGCACGTCTAGTACAATCTCTTAATTTAGCTATATAGCTTGAAATAGCTATTTAGCTTTATTAAGCTATTCAAAATAGCTTGATTTAGCTATTTATATGCAGTTTTGCATGTATTTGACTATTCATATATGTGCTATGGGCTATCGAAACAACAAGCAAAATCAAAGATAGCTCCAACTTTGCAACTTTTGATTACTTTTAAGCAAAAGATAAATTTCTATTATATGAGTAACTGTCCACTACCTTGTGTGCACTGAGGCATGGATAAGTATGATTGCTTCTCATTGAATGTACAGAATTAATCAATTATCTTGTTGACCATAATTGGCCTCCTTTATAAATTCATTGAAGAAGTAACTGTATCAATTGCATATGTAGCCCAAAAACTTTTAGAATTTGAGTACAAAGTCTCTTTTGTTTCTATTTTCCTAATTATCTCCCCTTGTTTAAGGGTCACAACCCTAGTTTTAGTATAAATGGAAGCCCTTGGCCCAAGGATACCCTGTGACAAATTTGACAATAATTGGCCAAAGGGTTCTTGAGTTATGGCCCATATTCTAAAAAGTTTACTCACACCGCACAAATGGCCATAGCATTAGCTCTTTGGGCCTTTGGCTCAGAAGAGCTTAAAAAATGAACCTCTTACATTGACTTTTGGTCAATATTTTTTTTACAGTTTTTTGTTTAGTTTTTTGATGAACAGTGTACAGTATTTTCACCCAAATTCCTGTATTTTGAGGACTGCTGTACAGTATTTGGGCCTAAAAATTATCACATGTATGCAAGGAGATTTTAATGAGTGAGTTTTAAATGCATCAATTTCAGATGAGTTCAAGGTTGAGTATCATCACTGCACCAAGGTGCGACTTTTTGTGCATGCTGAGAAAAGTATACATTTAAGAAAAAGTGTGATAAAATAGCTAAATTAAGCTATTCTGAACAGCTTAATAAAGCTATATATATAGCTAAATCAAAAGATTGTACTGGACCTGATAAGTGCTTTCAAACATTGAATACTTAAAAAACTAGACCTACTGACATGCAACAGCTAAATTTTTGTTGATAAATGAAACGTATTCTGAACAAATTATTTACCCAAACAAAGGTGATGCTGTCACAAGGTAGCGGGATGTTTCGCACCTGTGCATGGTTCGCCCCACGATGTTTCGCGCCCATTCTGTTTCGCGCTAAGATGGTTCGCCCCACGATGTTTCACTCTAAGAACATAAATGTGTTACTGAGTTTAGTTCATTTAACAAAATTTTAGATTTTAAATATATGTAAATATAGATATTTTTGGAACATTTTTTTTTTTTTAATTTAAGAAGATTATATTTGAAGCAGAGACGTAAACTATTTATGTCTGTGTTTGAAGTATACATACATAGCATTATTATGAATTACTATAACACCGTGATAATTACGTATAAGTAGATAATTATAATACCGCCATCTAATTAAGTAATTATTGCTGGCTTGGACTAGATAGAACGTTCTATCGTTAAAATGATATTGTCCTACGGACCCGGTTTAACGATAGAATTCGTTCCGTGTATTGGCAATGTTGCAAAATAAACACGGGCGATAACTCGAACTCTGTGCATTTTCTATGAACAATCCAGAGAGTTCCGAATGTCAACATGGCGTTAAATTTGAAGCGAGGAAAAAACGTTGAGAAAATAAGTTGAATTTTCGTATTTATATGGATTATTTTTTAGGTTAAAAGGTATATACAATCTCAAAAAGGTTTGTTATGATTAATTTGGTAGTTACTTTTAGTGCAACTCCTTTTGTATTCTTCAAAATCATTTCGGAGTGGATCCACTCCGATTTGCTACATTGCAAGTATATGGGACGTATTCTAACTGTGGTGAGGGCTTGTCCCGAGACACAGTTAGATTATTCTAACTAGGCTTGGACAACCCATACATCAACTTAAATTTTCACCTTTTGATCTCCAACTTATTACAATTAAATCCTCATTGAAACACTGTTGAATTGTTGAACAGACAGTCACACGCTGAGCAAACGGACACCGTACGATCCGTTAACTATAGCAGTGCATGTTATTAAGTCATGAATTTGAGCACACAAAATATTTATATCATATTTGATAAATAATTTAAAACGGATGAAAATGTGATGAAATATTAAAATAAAACGTGAGATGTTTCGCGCCGAAATCGGCGCGAATCATCCTGGCGCGAACCATCTCAGTGCGAAACAGAATTGGCGCGAAACATCCCGGATTCTGTCACAAGATGACGTTCGTACCCATCTGACACTTACACTACTCCTCCTTAATCAGCTGGTAATAACATCATTATCCTCGAATTCAAGAAAAATCTGTTAATAAATTAGTTGGAATGATGATAACAAAACTATTCTTATCAGATACAAATGTATAATATAAGACTTCTATTTCACCCAAGAATACCCAAGAAGCAGGTGACATTCTCTGACTTGTTTACCTGTACTTCGATCGAAATTCTTCTCCTACTTGCTCGCACCCAAGCTTTTACGACCCTCAATTTATCCATCGTAAGTCGGAGAACCCTCCGGCTTTGTACAACTGCTTAAACTTTCCTTATACGCTTTGTGTAAACCATAAACATGCATGACCCAATACACATCTCCATGTGTGAGGTACCTGGAAGTATATATTATCGAAAAATCTCGCGAGTCACGTGACGAGACTTACAGACCCTAACGCAGCCCGAATTTGCTTGGTTCCAATGAAAATCTAGATAATCTTGAGGAAGGGAGCATTCATTATTTGTTGTTGTAAGAAATGCGAATAGGTGATATCACCTATTCGAATAGGTGATATCACTCATTCAAATTGAATAGGTGATATCACCTATTCGTATAGGTGATATCACCAATTCATTTCGAATAGGTGATATCACCTATTCGAATAAGTGATATCACCTATTCGAATAAGTGATATCACCTATTCGAATAGGTGATATCACCAATTCGAATAGGTGATATCACCTATTCAATTTGAATGAGTGATATCACCTATTCGAATAGGTGATATCACCTATTCGAATAGGTGATATCACTTATTCGAATAGGTGATATCACTTTTTGGCAGTAAATACCAAAACGGCGCCTCATAGTCTTAACACTATAAGAGTGATGTATCTATTTAGCGATTCCACTTGATACCATTTGAGATATATTTATGAATTATTTTAATCTTGAAAGAAATAAATACATTTTTTTAACAAAAAGAAAAAAAAGAAGAAAAAAGAGGTTTCTGGGCCACATCGCTCACCTGAGCACTTTGGCTAGGGAAAAGCAGAAATCAGTTCATCATAGAAAAAGTGTAAATATATACGAGGGTTGTCAGTAAAGTTCGTGGACAAGCTAATTTATAAATAAAAGTTGTTTTATAGATATTTATTATTAGCATATTTATAATCCTTTACTATATGTGAATTATAAAATGTAAAATTTTATTCAAATTTAATTGTATAATTACAATTATGACTTCATTATTAGACTTGGGATGGTGACCCGGAGCACGGCAAAGTTTTAATTAAAAAGTTATTTATCACTTTATACATTTCATTTGTATTTGGTAAAATTCCGCAAAAATTTGGATGACTTTCGCATTTTGACGTTGACAAATGTTTTAGCATCACATCTGCAAAATTTGAATGTTCAAAGTTTCGAAATGGCAGAGAAATCGAAGTTAGAACCTATCAAGACAGGATCGTCGTTGTTCGAAAAAGGGACGTTTTCGGAAAAGGTGGAGCAAAGAGCAGCAATAACATTTTGTATAGACATCGGAAAAACACCAACAGAGACCCCTAAATTCCTTAAACAGTCGGGAAAACATAGTAAAGTAAGCCGTTCTTTAGTGTTTAAGTGGCACAGAAGATTTTCGAACGGAAGGGACAGTTTACAGGATGACCTGCGTGAAGGAAGACCATCTTTCCGAGATTGCAGTCTGTAAAAAATGACGCTCGTGACGTGATTGACAGTGATCGGCGACTAACATTTCTATTTCCATACTTAAAGTCGTTTTTACGCAGACAGAGAGATAAATGATTTTCAGGATCTGAGACAGGAAGTGTTAAATATTTTCACCTATGAAAACAAAACAGTTTGTCCAAATTTATCTGATAAAAATCTAACTATTTGTGTCTGTTTGTGATGAAACTTGCATATTAACGGAATGAAACATGAATTTAATGAAAATAATAGTTTCATATATTTTATCGATGTTTGTCATTTATTATCAAGGTTGTCCACGAACTTTACGGACAACCCTCGTAAGTAGTTCTATCCTACTCGAGGTAGGGGGTGGGGTGATTTGAACAAACTTGAATCTACACTAACTGAGGATGCTTCCATATCTCTTTGACTAATCATGGTTTTTGAAGATATCTTCCTATACATTTGATCTTCTGTTGTGGCCACGGACTACCCCAAGGTGACATGATTTGAAAAAAACTTAAATATACACTACCTGAGGATGTTTCTTTATTAATATGACTTATATTTCTAATATATTCCCATGTATAACTCAATTTGATCCTGTCTTGTGGTTCTACCCTATCCCTAGGAGGTCATGGTTTGAACAAATTTGAATCTACATTACCTGAGGATGGTTGGCTTGCCTGTTTTGATAGGATTTTTTAAGGTTTTCCTATGTATTCCTTCGTAAAACTTTGATTGCCAATTGTGGCCTCACCCTACCCTGGGGAGTATTGCTGCGCAGTAATATCGATATTCCGGTATATTGCGATTCGTTAACAAACTAGAAATATGTCCATAGGACGTGAATGCCCCGCCGAGGTTATATTAGTAATGCAACATGAAAATTTGTATTAGTGTATGAAATTTGATGAGAATATCTTGAATAGTTTCTTGAAAATTGAAATTGAAATCTAAAAAGTTGTATATAGGTGATAAATTTTTACCAAATTATGTATTAGTGCATAAGCTTACATAAATATATCTTAAATGGTTTCTTTAAAATTAAGCAAAATGCAAATTTAAGAAAAGTGAGGTCAAGGTAACAGGAAAGTTAAAGGTCAACCGTTTTTGATGCAATTGAATAGTTCTCACAAATACGTATCAGCATATTAAGTTTGATAAAAATATTTTGAATGGTTTATTAAAAACTGAGCTAAACACTAATTTAAAATAAATGAAGTTAAGGTCAAAGGAAAGGTCAAGGTCAAAAAATGTTGATGCAGTTGAAAAGGTTACATCAGTATGTATTAGCATATAAAGTTTGATAAAAATATTATGAATGGTTGTATTTATTATAGTTTTAGGCGCTTTTCTTATAATTGAAGGTTAATAAAATAAGAAAAAGAGCATTTTAACTGTCATTGAAAATATTGCATTATATAACATAATACAGTTTAAAATATCACAAAATTCCCAGCCGATACTCAGCCCTACTGGGGAGACATGATTTGAACAAATTTGAATCTACACTACCTGAGGATGCTTCCATGTCAGTATGACTAATCATGGCTTTACTGTTCTTGAGAAGAAGATTTTTAAAGATTTTTCCTATGCATTTCTATGCAAAAACTTGACCTCCTATTATGGATCCACCCTACCCCCCAGGGGTCATGATTTGAACAAATTTGAACCTACACTGTCTGAGAATGTTTCCATATAATTTCCAACTTTTCTGGCCCAGTGGTTCTTGAGAAGAAGTTTGAAAGGATGCCATTAATTTTTCACTAATTCATAATTATCTCCCCTTGGAAGAAGGTGTGGCCCATATTTGAAAAAAAAACTCCAATCCTCTTTACCAAAGGATACTTTGTGGCAAGATTTGCTGAAACTGACCCACTGTGGTTATTGAAGTTGAAAATGTGAAAAGTTTACAGACAGACGGACAGCTAAACAGACAGATGGATGCCAGACAAAATGTGATCATAAAAACTCACATGAGCCTTCGGCTGTGAGCTAAAAAACTAACTTTTAAACAAAGTCAGTATAAAGCAAAGTAAATTAAAACAGCTCATTCACAGCAAAAATATGTGTACACGTGATTGAGAGTTAATTAACTTCATCATGAAGGAAAGTGATTGACACAGAAGTAAAGTGTTTTTGAACCAGTAAAGGACAGGATAAGGTACTTGATTGAAAGAACCATATATATTGCTTTGCTCCTGTGTCTTTTAACCTCAAAGTTCCTCCGTTTTCTATATCCTTTATTTCCATGAAAAATATCATGATGAGTTGAAATTGAAAATAAACATTTACGTATAATACGATGTATTTACACAAA